CTCTTATACACATCTTGGTTTATATTATACTGGTATAATATTTGAATTTTATTCCCTTCGTTATGCATTCGTGTTAGAAAATAGTTTTTACATTAATTGAAACAAATCCTAGTTTACGCTAACCACGAATATGACGTTTCAGTATCATCTTCCTTCGTTTAAGTCAACATGTAGCAGACATTACTAATGTCTGTAAGATATCACAGCGACATTCAATTACGAACCATTAAGGGATTGTTTTAATTCATCTATGTACTTCGGAAAACAATCCTTGTTTCTGATTGAAGATATAACTATCGGCATATTGCCTGTCGAGTCTAAAATTCAGTTCAGAAATTTCAATCAGCGTTCCCATGGTAGTGCATTGCTACATCATTAATGTATCTCAGTCGTAAGATTATTCAAATGTCTGGCAGACGAAGTAAATGTCTTTTCTATTTATTTATGTGATTTATACGTGGGTCCGCGAACGCGTATACCTATATAATTATCGTGATATCACGCGGGACCCATGTCCAAGTTTAAATCTTGATATATTTATGCATTTGACCATACGTAATTCGTCGCTAATCATTTTCCTCCTTATTTTGTATGTGTTGATAAACGCATTATTCTGTTTGCGTTGATAAACGTTAATATCAAAGCCTACGTCCTACAAAAACATCTCTTGTAGTTCTACTGTTATGTATTACGATTTCAACAGGTGGTATTCGAATCGACCAGTTCCCCTTATGTGAAATGGATTCACCCAACAGACGTCAGTGTATGGGATGTTTTTGTATTGAAATACTGAAGAGAAAATGTATTGTCAAAATACTCTATTATTGAGCTATTGAATAAGGTGCGCGCTTGACCTGTGTTGAGACTTACAGTGTTTAAGAACAGGCAGTCATCCACGAGAGCTGTCGAGGATTTACTGTACCAGCATTTGTAAGTAAATACTAATACGAATATTTGATAACATATCTAGCTTGCTATAAACACACGGACCATATTATTAGAACAGGTTTTATCGTGTAATCGTTTATACTTTTAGAGAAAACATATAGTTCAAAAGGGATGAACTGTATTATTAAGGATCTGTGAAAGAAGCCGGTGTAAAGGTAGGCCTACAGGGTTTGGCGACTCTATTCTTCTTTGGTCTGCAGACTATTCAATCCTTATCTTTGTCGACTGACATCACCCTATTCGTATGCGAGGAGTTTACTATAGGAATGTTTGTTAATTAACCATCTATAATTTGCATATCACTTATAATATTTGGTAGTTGTATTATTGTATATATGCCTAAGTATATAAAAATGTAATGCTGGGTCCTGTGATCCTATGCGTAAATACATACCGTTTGATAGGCGATGGGATTGCCTGCTAATTCACTTTGTGAGTCTAAATGAGCGCATTTCTCCCCCCCCCCCCCCACCACTTTACACACACGCGCGCACACGCACCGATGCATTTTGATTACGAACATTTTGAAAGAAATATCGAAATCGAGCAAAGACTGCTTCCTCCTCCTGAAGCAATCTAGTGATCCAATGATTTTTGATAATTATTACCATTCATAGTGTACGACACACGATGGGCCAACCAGGGAGATATAATTTGTATACCTCCCTGGGCCAACCATGTCCAATGCCATGCCAGGGGATCCGTGGTAGCGGCGATGACGATGGTCGTCAGAGGATGACGACTAACATGATGATGATGTTGATAATGATAATAATGTTGATAATGATGAATAAAAAAGATGACGATGATGTCGAGGATGATGGAGGTGATATTTTTGGAGATGATGGTGATGAGATGATAATGATAGTTATCTGAAAAACAGTAGAATTTGAGGTAAGGGTTATCCCAAAAATTGTTATATGCCTTGTTGGACTTGTATACATTTTATAGTAGGCCTGTATTGGTTTAATTCTAAGGACTTTCTCTTATGGAACTTGTTTACAATTTTCTCTTGCTTTCCAGCCATAAGCAATCGTTACACCATTTGAAAACAGGGGTGAATTCAATGGGGGGAGTGATGGAGGCGATCCCCCTAAAAAATTAAAAAGTTAAAAATATAAATAAAGGTGCCATTTCCGGTCATCCAGATGTACGTGCCATAGCCATAAAATTTCGTATCCCAGCACCAACCATGTGGGGTGGGGAGGGGGAAGAGGTTGTTGGGACTATCCGTCTGTAGAACCTCACTGGGATTTCTAATTCGTCACTGGAGACTCATAATAATAGGCCTATGTTAGTATGCTTCAAGATTCATCTATGGTATATATACGATAATGATACATATCTTACGACCTAAAGTCTTAAACTTCTTCCTTTTCAGGTCATTATGTAAATTGAAAGAAATGCCATGAGCCCCATTCATATTAAGAGAAGTGCCGAGTAACAGAGGAGTGTGGTTTTTTGAATTCATTCATTCCTGTTACTCATAAAAATCGAAGTGTTTTATAAGACAAACGATGATTTTGGCGTCCCATGGAATACTAATCCTATGAAAAATATAATTGTAGTATTGTGGCCTCCTATATTATTTAAGTTCTAGGCAAAATAAAGTATCGTTCTATACAAACAGGGTTAACACATTCTTGAGATTAGATATCCGACGGAAATGAAAACAGCAATAGTGAGGCTGGGTATAGTGTGCTTTTCCTAACAGCGATGTCTTCAAAATAGTCGAAAGCTCATTATTTGGCCTCGAGCGACAATAAACATTGTCATGATTATCATGTTTTTGTAAGACATTGTATATGACTTAATGGAGACTGACAACAGTAAAAAATGCATAATATTGATGATAGTGTTGCTGGTGGTGATTGCAATTTAAATAAAATTGATAAAAGGTAAAATTAACTAACTTTTATTACACTGGAAGGAACATCATGATTATGAGGATAATAACGGTGGTAACGACGACGACGACGATGATGATGATGACACTTATGATGGAGATGACGGTAATGATGATGATGATGATGATAATAATAATATATGATGATTATAATAATGATGATGGTAATTATTATAACGAATTTAAGTTTGAGCGTAGGGCTACCATTTTTAGCCATCTGGATATGCCATGGGTGGGCATAAAATTCCTACGCCTCAGCCCGACCATGTTGCGGGACTAAGTTAGGCACTGCACCTCTAACTTCCTTCCCTGGGCCCCTTCTATTTCTAATTCCTGTTTCTACAGTTGGATTCGACGCAAATTTGCGTGATAATCACAATTTTCGCCCTCAACCTAACATTGCTTGCAACGACTAAAAAAAAAGACAAAAACTGAAATCCACGGGTGTTCACAAGGTTTGGTTTGGTTCTAAATATAATGGATAGATCTCTGCACTTAACCCCAGCAATATCATAACAATTCAGGTTTCGGTAACATTATTTTAAATAATATTATTTTGTCAATGAGGAAATGCCAAATGTTTTGTTTTACAAACAAAATAATTATTATCATCATCATCCTCGTCGTCGGTAATCATGATCATTATAATCACCAACATCATAATCATCATCCTCATTATAATCACCATCACCAACATCATAATCATCATCCTCATTATAATCCCCACCATTACCAACATCCTCATCATGATGATCATCATTAGCATCATCGTGGTGATGATCATCATTGTGATGATGATGATGATGATGATGATAATAATGATTATTACTGTATCATAGTCGTCCCCATCATTATCATTAAACCACCACTTATAAAAACTATTATAATCATCATAATTTATTATTATTAATTATATTATTGTTATTATTATTATTATATCATTTTTACTATCATTATTATATTATCACCATTAACTATAACCCACATTAAATACAACACTTCAACTTGTCAGTCATTCAAACAATAAACAACGAATTATGCTTTTGTAAAAAAAATCAAAAAAAAAAAAACACGATTTTAGAGTCTACTAATAGGCCTATGTAGAAAATACATATAATTTTTTTTTTCTCCCCGACGAATTGTGCTTTTTCTTCCTGATG